AGCATACGTTAGGGACAGCTAAGACAAAGTCTCACCCTTCCTACACCCATCTCCAATAACCAATGGAGGGCAATCATTTTGGGAATCAAGAGCAAAGGTCTGTTTACCTGCCTGGTCAGCCCATCTGACCTCAGAGAACAGCACCTGGACACATAATTTCTTCATTTGGCCAAGAAAATGAAAAAGCCAAGAATTATGAAAAAGGAAGTTACAGCGTGTGTGTGTGTGTGTGTGTATGTGTGTGTGTGTGTGTGTGTGTGATGTAAACACCTTCCAAATTGTCTTGGGCAGGTTACGAGCTACTGTGAATAGACCCATTGCAGGAGAGGAGATGGTCATAAACAGAGGAGGGACAATTTCATCTTGGTTTGTGTACTTTTCAACTTCCCAGCAAACAGTATTTCCTGTAACTGTAAAAATGAACACATTGCCATCACTCCCTTTCTAAGGTTGCCTTCCTGGTAAGCCAATCAAAACTCTTAAAAATGCTTCAACTCAGGAGCTAGAGGGATGGCTCAGTGACTAAGAACACTGGCTGCTTTTGTGAGAACCCAGGTTCAATTCCCAGCACCTACATGACAGGTCACGATTATGTGTAACTACAGTCCCAGGGAATCTGACACCCTCTTCTTGCCTCCATAGACACTACACAAACACACATGTAGGAAAAACACTCACCCAAGTTAAAAAAAAAAAATGAACATGCTTCTAAATCTTTCCCAAGTACTTCCACTTTTAAGAATAAGAAAGCAATAAACAAAGTGAAATGATGCCGGGGCAAGGTAAAGATAGTTACTGGTTGCCGTGGGCTAAGCAGCCCTGTGTATACTTAACTCATACCACCTGTATACCCAAGAAGTCTGGGTGCTGTTACCAGCTACACGTCCAGACAGGAAGCCTTGTGTGAAGAAGCAAGGGAGCATGACACCTTGTCTGTCCTCAGACCCCTTCTCCTGCCCAGATATTATTCTGGGCTTTTGCCTAACAGGCAGATCGCCTCCAGCAAGCCCTGTGCACCCACTGATAAGGTGGTTAGACAATTTTAAAAATACAAGGGAAACATAAGTATGTGGTGGGAGGAAGCAAAGCAACAGACCTGAAGGCCAAACAGGGTAACCTCAGGGAAGCTCAGACTGCACAGGATATTACCTGCATTTGTAAATCCTCTCCATGTTTTCCAAGTTTCTAATTTTGGAACAATGTAATTTCTACATTTGAGACAGAATGCACCACTTCAAACTGTGTCTGAACTCTGGAACTGCGAGCAGTAGCACACGATGGCACGCATGTCCCTGTCTATAAATGTGAGGCTCCCACAACAACCAAACTAGGGGCATGATGAGGAAGAAACCACAGTGCAGCCACAGGAAGGGCAATGACATTTCAAATAAAGCTGAGTGGATGAAACGAAGCCTTTGAAAAGTTTATGAATTTCTCTATTGGCTTTCATAATGGACAAAACTCATCCTTGCCTTTATTCCTTGGCAGGTAGTTCAATCGTGCCACCACCCAACTCCAGAACTTTCCATTTCCCAAACAGAAAGGCTGTCCCCACAAACAGACTAACTCTGTGCCCAGCCCCTATCCTACTCTGCCTGTGCACTTGACTCTATGGACTGCATCTTAGAACCTCACCTAAATACCTCTTACAGTGTTTGTTCTTTTATATCTGGATGTAGTAAAAGGTCCTCATACACTTGGAAGGATATGTCAGTATTCCTTTCTTTATGAGGCCCAGTAATAGTCTATGTCCATACTGATGTATTTGCACTGTTTGAGCTGCTTTTCCCTTCTGTCTATGGTGAATGGCACGATTCTGAGCAGGATGTGCAACCACTATTAACCTAAAGGCTTTGGTTGCTAATTCATCTTGTGGATGGTCTAATAGGAATGTACTTCACCCACTCACTCTCTGAGGCTGCTTTTTTGGCAACATGAAGACATTTAATGCTGAACTGCTGTAATGTTGCATCTCTGTCTCTCCTCAGCTGCCAGAGCAGCTTCACTAACCCACTGCCCCTCAGACTTGGCAGTTTAAGAAAACAACAAACACAAGCTGCTCGGCTTCCAAGAAGTACAGTCCTTATCTGCAACTGACAGAGTCAATGCTGGCTTTTGTCTCAGGCACGTTCCCAAGAAGGTGCCAGGAAGGTTGGGCCCTCTACTCTCTATGCCTCAGTTTCTACCCTGTAAAACTGGCCACAGGGCCACCTACTTCCAGTCCTTTACCAGTTGCATGTGCTGTGCCAACTTCAATATTCCAATGCCTGCCACAGGCTTCAGTTCCTTCTGCCCCTCTAGTATCTTCCAAGAGAGTTCTTTGGAATCTCTAAGGGGATACCATGGGCATATGACTTCTGTACCAGCAAGGGTTGGGGAGTAAGGGCCTCCCTTGGGCTGATGTCATAGAACCACAGTAATTAATCTGGTCAGTTTTAAACAATATCTTGGACCCACCTAGACCACCCTAGCCTGGCACACTTGATTGTGCACCTGGGAAGTTAGGAGAATAGTCAGGCCCCTGAAGCATGTGTTATTTATGCCTGTGAGAAAAGAAAGTAAACTATTAATCCAGGCGAGGAAGAGGAATAAATATGTCTGATTCTACAAGCCCTTGGCCCTAATGACGGCCAAGCAAGAGGGACACACAAGCCTGGTTTATCCAGATCCCGAGCAGTGACAGCAAAGGAAACAAAGCTATAACTAGTTTGTTAATACAATGTTAACTACTTGTTAATACAAGTAATCCTCGCTGTAAAGAGAATACCAGATGTGTAGGGTGAGGACCCTGGGCATACCTGGGATCCCCTCCAAGCTGTCTGCTAAACACTCCTTATACTTTTAACTTGAAAGTGAGATGGGTACAGATCTTTCACATGCAGGGGTGAGGAATACACAGAAGGATGGGAAGGAAGGAACTAGCTTAACTTCAGGATGGTCACCACTGTGGGAAGGAAGTTAGGACAGAGAACAAGACTACTGTCTATGTCACAGCCTAAAAATATATATTCTCTTCACAGAGACATTTGCACACAGATGTTTCTACAGCAGTATTCACTATAGCTAAGTTATAAAACCAGCTTAGATGTCCAACAACAGAGGAATGCATAAAGAAAAAATGGTTTAGATAGCATGGAACTCCTTTCAGCCATTTACAAGAAGGAAGTTACACCATTTATGGGGAAATGGTTACAAATGGAGAGAATCTCATTAAGCCAGACTCAGGAAGACAAATACCACCAGTTTCTCTCATTTGTGTTTCCTAGATTTTATACAGATACACGAGATCATGTATGCATAATATGACATACAAGCATAAGCTAAACAGTTAGGGGAACAGAGAGGACCAAGAGTGGCAGGCAGGTAGGAGATGCATATATATATATATAAATGTTTGCAGATACCCTTGGAGTCCAGAAGAACGTGTCAGATACCCTGGAACTAGAGTTACGGTGGCTGTGATCTACTCACCATGGATGCTAGAAAACAAACTTTAATCCTCTGCCAAAGCAGCAAGCACTCTCAACTACTAAGCCATCTCTCTAGCCCAAATTTATATTCTTTCTTTTTATGTATATAAAAGTACATTTTTAAGAATTGTAATGAATGGCACTGATGGGGTCCCTTTTCCTCTTATAGTAAAACTCACCCCTCTGACATCCATAGGAACCACGGTGGACATCCCACTAGACATGTGGGGAGGGTTTTTCAGTTTCGAAGATAACTGAAAATTAGGCAAATAAGCCTTTTTTATTAAAACTATATTTCAATTTCATTTTATACATGTTGTTATATTCGCCTGAATGTATGTATATGTGTTGTGTATTCCTTCTGCCTGTAAATTTGAAGAGACCATTTAACCTCATAGGACTGAGGTTAAAATCTGCTGTGTAGTGCCATGAAGGTGCTAGAAAACAAGAGATGTATTAACATCCAAGCTGCAAACACAATTTTCAAATATAATGATGGTGACAAATCAAATAATCCATTTTTAATACAGAGGAAGATTTAGGCCCACAGATACAAAATGCATAGTATTGTTAACAATCATTAGCAATAAAGGCAGTGAGTAAAAGATGGTAAGTAAATACAGCAGGCTGAAATTAATCTTGATATTAAATCAAGAAATTATTTGAGTTTTGGTATTTCTTGGACTCAGTCTTGAGATTTCTGTAGATTTTCTGGTCAGTCTCATATGTGCACCTCACTTATAAACTCAAAGCAATCGGACTAATTCTATAACACACCTCACTGGCTCAGAAGCTTGGCCTCACACGGATGGTTTCACATACGTACACACATCAGCTTTACTGAAAGGCCATAGAATTCAGCCTTTTAGACTGAGCACTCAAATGCTTTCAACACATTGGTAGCTATGTGGCCTCTGCCTGTAGGTAACCACACCAGTCCCTACAGGCCCTTTCCCACCCAAGTCCTGCCGTCTCTAGCCTGGTTCTTCTAGATGGTTTATCTGTTCTGGGAATGTCATATAAAGAGAGTAACATAACACAGGGCTGGCTGCATGATATCTGTTGTTTTTTGATACAAGGCCTCATGTACCCCAGTTTGGCCTTAAACTCACTATGTACCTGAAGATGACCTTGAACTTCTGGTCTTCCTGCCCCTACCTTCTGAGTATTAGGATAACAGGTACATACCACAATACCTAATTTATATGCTAGGGATCAAACTCATGTTTAAAGCAAGAGGCAAGCATGTTCCCAATTGAGCTACATCCCAGCCCCCAGTAACATGTTTTCTAGGCTCACTGATGGTATGCACACATATGCTGGTGTTTCTGTCCATCTCAAGGCTTAATGATATTCTCTTATGTGCAGCGTAGACTTTTTTAGTCCATTTATCCAATAATAATCAATTTCTCCCAAGAATAATGGTTCTATACTTTCAGTGACGCTGAAGCATGAAGCACTTACTTAGCTCCAGCTTGGCATTCACTAAGTACACAGGGAAAGACGGCACAGTTCAAACACCCAGCTCACCTTCTCCTGGGTTGACTTGACCACACTGGATACCTCCCCAACTGTCAGCTGCAAAGACTGTGGCTGTGGGTCCTTCTGGAAAGAGAGACGCAGTGGACCCTGTAAGAGAGAGGCTGTATGAAGAGGAATGCATAAGTGTAGTCTGGATTTTATTTATTTTTTAAATACACACTTGCTACAAAATTACAATAAAAAAACCCATAACAAAACATCCCAGCAACGGTTAAATATCAGAAGGTTTATGCACACACACACACACACACACATACACACACATGGGGCGAGGGTGGGGCTGGGGGATGACCAGACAATGTTGGATCTTGCTCAGCACTTGGCAAGGAGGGAATGATGGAGATGGCCACTGACTCAAAGATGAAGCAAAGAAGCATCGTGCTGAGCCCTAAGGTTCAGAATGGAGAAAGGTGCACAGAGCAGGCTGTGGGTGCACCTTGCCCTCTCAGCTGTCTCCTCCTTACTAAGGAAGTGCTCTTCTCTGGAAGAAGAGAATCACCTCTCCTGCTTTATGAGGCTGTAGAGGCACTGGCACTTGAGGTGCCGTCTCCTCCTCTTTCAGAAACCCAGAGCCTGGCATCTCTCTGGGATGTGAAATGACACAGAAGGCTACTGACTGGAAAGGAACCTGGCTAGTGGCTGTGTCTCGAGTCTTTACCTCACAGCCCTCCAAAGCTGCCTAGTTCCCCAGCCGCCACAGGGTTCAATAACTCCATGCATTCTCCAGTGAACTCTGTGTCTTTCTTGTTTTATTTACGTGGTGTGTATGTGTGTGGGGGTGGGATGGGGTGGGGGGGTGGGTGTGGATGTGTGGGTATGTGTGTAAACATTTGTGTGAATGCAAGCACACACCTGTCACAGTCCAAATGTGGAGATCAGAAGAAATTCTTGAGTCTCAGTCCTCACCTTTGTTCAACCTTGTTTGAGACAGTCTCCATGCACAAGGCTACCCACCAATGAACTTCCAGGAATTTTCATGCCTCTTATCTCGCCATATCAGCTCTAAGGTTATAAAGGCACACGCTACCCCACCTGACTTTCACATGCATTCTGTGGATTCGAACTCAGATCCTCATACTTATATGGTAAGTAGTGTTACTCATTGAACCAGCCCTCTTTTTTTCTAGGGCAGCAGAAGTGGGTCGTTACCATTCAAGTTTAAAATTTCCAAATGAGGGCTGGAGATATAGCTCAGCTGTCCAAATTCCTGACTAGCATACATGAGGCTTTAGATTCTATTGGCATGGTGCTACATAGTGCTGAAATCCTAGCACTCAAGAAGTGGAGGGAGAAAGATCAGAAGTTCAAAGCTACTCTTGACTACATATTGGGTTTGATACCAGCCTAGGTTATATGAGACCCTGTTTTGAGTTTTTGTTTATTTGTTTGTTTTTATTTTTAAATCTCCAAGTGGCAGATATATTAAACCAATGCCATAAGGCAGTAAAATTGATGCTTTATAAAAGTCAATATGGGCTTGGACAGCAAATCAAGGACTGTCCTCTTAAAATAAGTTTTCTAGTAAGTCCCAGCTTGTGTATCAAGACGCCCTTAGATTGAAACCTTCTTTAACTTTCCCTGTCAGAGAGCCTTTCCTGTCTAACTTCTGACGGGGGAGCTACTGCCCTTTGTGTGTCCTTCCTGTAAGCCAGGACTCCATGGCAGTAAGCTAGTTACCAACATGGGTATGAGCAAAGACAGAAGACAGAACTGGCATGTGATGGGACCAGAGATGTTCTGGCAGGCCTAGTGCAGAACAGCCATGACATAACTCTCTCCTGATTTTTCAAGAATTCCCAGAGATCAAAATCAAGCATAAAATACACAGTTCATTTAGATTTAGGACTCATCCTGTGCTAATAGCATCCACCTTACTCCTCAATCATGAGAGGTGGTAAAAATCTACATGGCGGGGAGGATGAAATCACCATGTGCAGGCTGTTCTGGCAGAGTCTGGGGCTGGAGCTGGTTTTGGGAGGAGCAGCTGGCTAAAGACTCCACGAACTTGCTGAAGTCACTGCACTGTGAGCTAACTTTGTGGCACAGAGGTGCCATTACAAAGTGCCTAGATGACAAAATAAGCCAGCAGAACAGAGCCTCCCAAAGGCAACCCTAGAAACACTGGACTGCCTTCCTTCTACCCGGACACAGACTCTGTCCTGGAGCTATAGCAGGGCAGGTAGGGTGAAGCTCCTTCCCAAGGTGCCTTTTGCACAAAACCACAGAAAGATCTTTAATGTCAAGGGATGTTCTTACAAAGGACACAAATTATAAGTTAAAATAAGGATGGAGAGACTACCTTTCTGCTTCTGATCCACCTGCCTCGGGGCTCAGGAGTAAAGTGAGCCCACAGCTTGCAACCAATTCCTGCATTGCTGATAGTTTGCTGAAGGCTAGCAATACCAGTCTACAGCCATCTGCCCAGACTACAAAAAGACTCTGTACACACATGAGAAACCCATCATGTAGGAACTGCCAGAAAAAACATACATTCACATTCACACACACACACACACACACACACACACACACACACACCAAACAAAAACTGAAAAGTTAGGTAGGTGACCTTCATACTCTGGCCCATAATACAGAGTCTCTGTGATTAAAACTATGGCTCTGTGCAACAGCGGGGAAATGTAGAACAGGCTGACTGCAAGTGGAAGCTCAGCCACAGGGCCACAAGTGGGAAGCTCCATACCATGAAGCTTTGTTTCAGACACAGGACTGTTCAAATTCTGTGACAAATTAATTTCAGTATGTACTAGCCACCCTAATTGATCATGCAAGAAAACTAAAAGTGAGGAAAATGGCTGAGGAGGTCTCAATTGGAAAAGTGCTTGCTGTGCAAGCTGACAACCTTAATTCCATCCCTACAGGCCAAACAAAACAGTCCAATGTACTGGTGCTTCCTTGAAATCCCAATAGGGGAGGTTGGACTGGCAGACACAGGAGAATACCAGAGGCTCACAGGCCATGAGTTCCAAGCCAATAAGAGATCCTATCTCAAAAAACAAGGTAGATGGCACCTAAGGAATGACAGTTGTCCACATAAGTACACACACACACACACACACACACCAGAGAAGAAAAGACTAAGATGAACCCTGCTGTTGAGCTTAAAAGGAGAGAATTGATATGCATTCATGGCTTAGAAGTCAAATACTGATAGACAGAAAAACACAGATATTTTCATGCCACACCTATGTTGATGTGCTGGAAGGGTCTAGAACACAGAACTGAGCAGTGGTATGCATACCCAAATTCTACATCCCTAACTGAAGTTGCTCAGAGAAGTGGCTGGATCCAGGGCCAGAGAAGAAAATACATGTAAACAAAAAGAAAAAAGAAGCACAAGTGTGGGTACACAGCTGGCTAGAGAAACACACAGCAGCCATTTTGGCAGCAAAGTAATAGTAATGGTACAGGATCATAACCCATTGAATAATTTAAAGAACAAAGAAACTACGAATCCAAAGTGATGTATACAACCAGCTAAATATACATGGAGGAGTGAGCATTGCCTCTCTCAGCAGAGTTCCAGTTGATAACATAAAGAAGAAAATAGCAAATCACCATTAAGGAAACTCCACACAGGTAACTGTTGTAAGTGAGCCACATGGAAGGACACTTAATTGAGAGCAAAAACATCCAAGAATGTATCTCCTAAGACAAGGTAACTAGAGCCAAATGTTAAGACATAAGGTATAAAAGCATCTCACCAAAGGAGCCAGGACCCACTTTCCTAATAGCAAGTTACACCAATACCATGAGCTCCTCATACTCATACTGTTCATACTGAACAATCAAGGGTTGCTATTTCTGTATGTACAGTCTCAAACCAACAGCAGGATAAAGCAGACAAATATTCAGTAAAATAATAATAACACTCCATACTATCAAGGTCATAAACAATAAGGCAGAATGAGAAACCATTACAGATTATGGGAGACTAAGAAGTACCAACTAAGGGTCACTAGGGACCTTGTGCAATAAGCTACTGAGATTGAGAAGTGCTTTGTTTTCTTATTAAAGGGATGGTGATAATGTTACTGTCTTGTAGTATTACAATGTTAATTTCACTGTTTTTAGTTGTAGCTACACTGTGCTCAGATTAACCTCTTGTTCTATAGAGTGTTAATTTCATTGAGTGCTAAAAGTTACACTGTACCCTACAGAGTGAGTTCCAGGACAGCTAGGACTACACAGAGAAACCCTGTCTCAGAAAAAAAGAAAAAGAAAGAAAGAAAGTTACACTGTACCTAGGTGAGCCCATTGTTCTATCTGAATTTCTCCAGTTGTTATAGCAACCCTGTACCGACAGTAATTCTGCTCTAACAGTTGAGCAATAGTTATGAGATGCAGGGTGAGGAACACGTAGAAACTCAATTACTTTTCCAACTTTTCTGCAAATTCAAAAGCAAATCAGTTTTCTAAGGAGAAGTTTCAAAAGAACAGCCCACCTTACTTACTCATGATATACCAGGCTCTGTTCACAGTCTCATACAGGCTCATAACATCTGTGTGGCAGTCTCTTCGGCAAAAATACAGAGAAATCAGACTTGTCCAAGACCACACAGCTAGTAAGTACAGAGTTGGGACTCAAACTCCAGCCATGGCTCTTACAGATCTTTCACATGATTAAAGAACTCTTTTCCCTCCTCAGACACTACAAGTGGTTTGGAGTTAGTTTTGGCTGATTTTGGTTGGTGTGGATAAGGCACCCACTCTTCCCTGAATTCCTGTTGAGAGCATGGCTGAGTACAAGGAACAACTCCACTGGCACTTGGCTTCACACTGGTGATTCGCAGTCACCGGCCACCTTCCTTTCGTGTTTCTGTTCTTCAAAATGTGAAAACAGTGCACATTAAGCAGGCTGTTGTTCTTCTTGGGGCCTCTTGGCTCCCAAGTTTGAGGCTTGCATTCAGATGGCATGGTGTACATGACACTGTCTTTTCCTTCTACCAGGCCTGTCTTTTACCCCACTCGCGCACCGGGCTTGCTTCCAGCCACTTCTGAGCTGGGCATGAAATCCACCTCTGTGTGGAGAGACCCAAGTTCTGCCTCAACTCACAATGCAGAAATGGAGGCACAAGTGACCAAGAAGGGAACAAGTGCAGGCTGCTGGATGTGTGGTTGGGGTTGCATCCTTACAGAATGGAAGAAGTCAAGAAATTAAATGAGAAAGGAGATACATACTGCAAGGAACTCTGGGATGCCCTGTGGGAAGGTCCTTATACTGGGAATAGCCCTTAGTGTATAAACTACAAAAAAGGAGACTGAGGTGTGAGGGGGATGGTAGAGTTCACAGAGTTACCCCAAACCCATTTTACTTCTGGGGTATGGGACAACAAACTGATCCAGGGCTTTTACTTGAGTGGCTGTCAAGAGTCTCAACTACCAGTCTTTCTGTGCACAGCTTCTGCCATTGGTTTTTGTAAGCACAGCTTGAAAGTCATTAAATGATGGAAAGACACTGCAATTTCTAGTCACTATTTACAGGAAAGCTTCCATATCTCAGAGAAGTCGGTGCTATTCAGACATGTTCTAAGTTCACACTGACTCCCCATTCTCCAAAGACTATAGAGCCCAACAGTCTCACTCACTTGTTTTAGAACATTCCTATGAGGAAATCCTGATTTGAAGGATTATAGAAATGAGCAGGTCTAAGAATCTTCCTAATCTAGGACCACTGCCAGTTGAGGGCAGGGAGGAAACACCAGAAAAACTCATGACAACAGCAGCAGAACATGGGCTCTGAAACCTGCATGAGTTCTCCAGAGCAGCAGGGTAGACGGGAAGTCTGGAAGCCACAGGTGAGGCTACCTGCTACCCTCATGCTAGCATCCCAAGCCAGGGCTTTAAAAACAGCAATCTTGGGTAATCTCAGGTGGTGTAGGAGTATGGGCCATCACTAGTGTAACTGATTATTAGCACAAGCTAAAGTATTCAGGTGACTGCAGGCCAGTCACGCAGCTATCTTCAGATAACACAATACTTTCTGGGTTCTCTGGCTCTCTGTTACAGAAATATGGCCCCAACAATAAACATAGTTTTTGTAAAGTCAAACTTGGTGAAGAAATGAGACTTAATGTTAAAACCACCAACTATAGGTATTGCTGGGTACAGCAGATCTCTGGTTGACAGATGGCTAGAGACAGGTGTGTACAGTGGCTTCTCACCCAAGGGGAAGAAAGTATCTCCTGTTCTCTAACCTTCAGCTAACCCAAGCCCTTCTTGTGAATGTGGCACTGTGACAGAGATGCGTACAAGCGTATTTCTTATGAGTCCTGTAATTCCTACTCACTGGAAGATTACTGACCAGATGCCAGATCAATGATGGGTTCCTCTCTTTCCCACCTAACTAGTCACCCTATAAACTACTTCTGGAGTGATGGCTGGAATCTGTGTTGGAGTTCACACAGCTACACTTATAAGAGCACAAAGATGCCACCTTGAGTCACTGCTTAGTCCTTGGATCACAGGGATTCAGCTACATCACTCAGGCCCTCTTCACTGGACCTTATTCAGAAGAAACACTTGAGGCTCAGGAAGCATGGCTGTAGCTGATTTGGGACCACAAAGAAGCCAGACCTCGAGCTCTCCTTTCTCAAGCTTCGGCTCCTCACCTCTAGAGAGAGAAGGGCTTGAGCAAAAAGTTTGAGTTTCTTTCCATTTTAAAACAACTCAGATAGCTTAATGAGGAAAGAGCTTGCTGTGTAAGGCTGAGGATCTAAGTTAGATTCTCACAACTTAGGGAATTCAATTAGATGTGAAAAAGCAGCATGCTTGTAACTCCAGCACTGTGGAGCCTGTGGAGGTTGTAGAAGCAGAAACAGGTGGATTCTTAGAGCTTGCCGGCCAGCCAGCCTAACCAAATCAGTGAGCTCCAAGCCAATCAGAGACCCTGTCTCAAAATACAAAGTAAATGGTGTCCATGGGGTTGTTTTCTGGTCTCTACATGTACACATATTACATGTGCACCTGCATACACATCACACACACACAAATGTAAACCTAGCATAAAATCTAGAATAGGACAGGTTAGTGTTTCCACTGGGTAGAAGTTTCCTTTTCATGGAAGATGCTGGATCTGATCCAGCATTACTAGTGTCTCCATTCCATTCTACCAGTGACAGACCAAGTGTTGGTTGACTGCCAAGTATTAGTATTACCTGGCTGGGGCAAAGAGATTTTAGGACAAAGTCAGGCAAGGGACATCTAAGCTGTTGCTGTCTGTGCCTAGAGCAGTCTGGGAACCTCAGCCTAATCAGGGATTAGTGGCATTCGAAGTGGGGGGAGGGCAGGGAGAAATTCCAGCAATTATAGCTGCTGGGGTCAGGCTCTCACTAGTATAAATGCCTCCATCTATTCCCCATGTGTCATTACTGTAACAACAGCCAAGTCCCAAGAAACTGGTAGAGAGGTAAGTCACTGAGTTCCTACCTACATGCAAAACCCTCCATTTGAATACAATCAAGCAGCATTGGGTATCAGACACCAGTCAGTCAAGTAGAACAAAAACTGTGCTAAGGGATACCCAACACCGATTTCTGTGCAAAAGGCCCCTGCAAAGTTACTTTGAGCTTAAACTCAATATGGTACTGTCACTTTCAAACAGGAGCTCTAGTGATAAATGGCTGAATTTGGCAAAGAGCAGAGAACAGGCAAGACCCTGCAAACAAGCCAGTGTCTTTTCAGCCCACCCCCACCCCATGTCATCCCTAACCACAAAGGCCAGAGTGACAGATGAGAGAGGACTTCACTTGCCATTAATTCCATGGGAATTCACTTGCCCAACCAAGACCAGTGCTAAGAAGGGGCTTCCTCTTCTTTCTGGACAACCCTCCAGGCACAAGAAGCCCTGGGAGAGTGTCTAGAGTGATCCTATCTTAGGAAGTCAACCAAGAAATGGCAGGAAATAAAACATCCAAAATTCACAGAAGGGAAGGGCACTGACTCTAGGTCACCAGTGTGTATCTCCAACAGATCATTAACCAGCACACTTGCTAGCACCCTACAGAAAAAGAGAGGAAGACTGGCATCAGCTCAGGCAACACTGTGTTCTCTGTACTGAGTCCAGGCTTCTAACACCAGATCAAATGACGCTCAGTGACAGCAGCTTCATGGTGGGATCATGTTTACTCCTACATATGAGGACACATGGCTTGAGTACTGACCCTGGGTAGAAGTCCAGCTCTGATGACTGGGCATCTATTCTAGGTATCAAGACAGATGTCAACTGCGCTTGTAGCCTTGCATCCAAAAAAATCTTTTTCCAAGAGTCCAGAGCAAAGTCTCTTGTACTGTTGGATTTGTGCTAATTCATACTTAAAGCGTTTTTTCTTTTTTGTTTGTTTGAGTGTTTTTTTTAAAAAAAAAAAAAAAAAACTCTATGGCTACATGTGCCAAGGCCATGGCAGAAAGACTAGGCTCAGAGCCAAGTGGAATATTCTGAAAGTGGATAGGTTCGGCAGGACAATGACTGAACATTATGGTATTCACTGTGTTCAAAGCTGGTGGTCTGAGGCTTCTCCACTGGGCTGCATAGCAGGTACGGAGGCCTTTGTACCTGAAGCTGAGGGACAGCTGCAGTGCTGACAGGTGCCAGCTCTGTCCCACCAACCTAATTCCCCTGTGGAATGCCTCCAAATTGTAGACGCCAGGAACTTGTCCTTACACTAACATCTCTTAAAAGTCAAAATAAGTCAGCAAGCAATTAACAATGAAAGAAACCACCACAGGAGAATGAGGCACGGAGCCGGGGGAATAAGCCCAAGGTGTGAGGTCAGCACATTTGGTCAGCACAGCTTGGCTCTGACACCAAAGACTAATTTAACCTTCCAGGCCTCAGTTTCCTCAGATGGATGATGATGATGCCGTGCTAATTTGGAAGTGACATAAGCATTTACAGTCCCCAGGGCCATATCTAGAAGCAGTAAGATCTCAATAAACAGTCACTATTCTATGTGCTCAGAAATGCAAGCCTTTAGAATTTAGAAGCTTTAGGCAGAGAACAAGATTCGAAATGAAAGCATATTTGGATCACAAGTTATCCATTTATCGGATTCCAAAGCAGTAGGTGTCCACCCGGAATCCTCTAGGGACCGGCTAGATGGTTCTCCCACAGAAAGCCCCACGGAGCTGAAGATGTTTGCTGTGTGAAACAGTCACGTAGTTAACTCCCACCTCAGGAGCTTCACTCTCCCTGGTTCTAACTTCAAAGAATGCCTTGCCTCAGTAGGCTCAGGGTGGCAGTCTCCCAGGAACAGGGCTCTTTCTGATGCCCCTCTCACCTTCAAACACCACGCCCTCCTAGGAACTCACCCCTCTCTTTTCGGCCTCATAGTTCAGGGCGGTCACCCAGGCTGCTTGCCACTGATTTCCCCAGCTATCCCGTGTCAGTATCCAGGAAAGAAGTGTGTCCGACTCCCGGCGCCTTAGCTCATCCGGCTCCACCCGCCGCCGGGGCGGGGGTCGCGCCTTGGCCAGCGCCCACTGCGCCAAGTACAGGCCCACGGTGCCCAGGGCCGCGACGAAGAGCGACACCAGGAAGAGCCACTGCACCTCGCCAAGCCACGAGCCCATGCTGACGACGCATACCCAGCGCGCGCGCCCCGACTTCCCGGAGCAGCCGCGGCCCCAGGGCGCGCGGAGCCGGCCGGTGGCGACTCAGGACATCCGCCGGGACGCAGAGGCACAGGGTCCGGGGCCTGGGAGGCCGAGGCAGCGGGGAGGGCGGCGAGGACCGGTAAGCGCACCAAATTGAGCACCGTGCGACTGGGAGCCAAACGCGGGACAGAGGAAGCTGCTCCCCACGCGCGGTTGGGAAGTGCAGGGCAAGGCTCTTCTTCCCAGCTTGCCGCCTAGGGTGTCCCGCCCGCGGCCCGCAGGAACCGCAGGAGGCCGGGCCTGGGGGCGGAGCAGGAGCGGAGTCTCCTTTTACAGCCCCGCCTCCTTAAAGGCCCCGAGGGCCCTCACCAGGTAAGCGCTCAAGTCTTCTCCTGCCACTACCTTGAGTGGTGAAAAGGTGGTGATCTCGTCGGTGTGCCGCGCTTGGTGCTTTAGATCCCAAAAGGTTACTGCCAGGCGCCTTGGTTGGGATCTGTGCGCTCACGTGGGTGGGATGCCCAGATAAAGCGAGAATTCCAAGAATTTCCCCACTGCTAGGACTAGGTCTTTGCAAGGCCAGCCGCAGCAGTCTGTAGCTGTCACCCTAAAGTAGGCTGATGGTCTGCAATATGGGGATGACGCCTGTCCTATTTCAAGATCCAGGGAGGTGCTTGTCAGACCCAGGCTATGGTTCAAGATGTGCATAGATCTCTGATTTTGTTTGGAGAGAGAGAGAGAGAGAGCTCAAGTCTTATCGTGCCACTACCTTGAGTGGTGA